TTCAACGGTCGCGCGTATTTCTGGAATACAAATAGTAAATCTGCAGACTCGCATTAACCCCTCGAAATCCAGCAGACGACTGAAAGAAGGGCGTACGAAGAGGAGAGAATAGTCAAGAACACGCGGTCATAGCGCCTTCTGGTCTACGAAAAAAATGCGAAATTAAAATCTAGTGTATGTCACACAAACGCGCGCCCGCTGGAAGGTTAATGATGCTCATAGACCCAAAGATTACATTTAGGGATATTTGAATTAAGAATAACTGATTTGTTATTCACATAAACTCAGAACCAGCTCCAGGGCTCGCATTCAGTCGCAGAATTTAGGACCCACATGACTGCGGTAAGATATCTAGCGCCGGTCCTCAATAAGGCTTAAATAGTATGTGGTGGGAATTTATTTATTCAGAACTCAGATAAGCCTTAAGCATGTGCAAGAAATAGGCATAAATATAATAAATAAATAAGCTAATACAATTCAGGCTTAATTGTCTCGGTGCGCGATAGAAGCAAGATTTAAAATTTAACGGAACAACTTGTCGTTAGTCGCTAAGCCATGATGGATAGCCAAATACGTATAGTGAAGGATAGTTAAATTTGATGAGGATAGCCGCTAATTTTAAAGGTTTTTCGAATATCGCAAAACAACGGTGAAATTTTACAATTAACAGATTTTCTAAAGAAATGTGGAGAAGCGGTAATAAATGAAGATAATGTAAAAGAAGCTTTTATATCCTGAATGGCGAAATCTGTAGTATGGTTCTAGATCCAAAAAATACTGCTACCGGTAGTGAAGAAAGTGACAGAGAAGTTACTGAAAACCAGAAAATTTCGATTGACAAGTTATTCAGAATTCTCGAAACAGCAGTTACAGGACTTCAACAACAAGTAACTAAACAAGAGATTATGCCTGTCCACAGAATTAAAGAGAAAGTATTAACACAAAAAACGAAGCAACTTAAAACAACTTGCATTGAAAGAAAAGTTTAATAAGGTAAACAAATAAATATTAAGCTTTTTTTTTAATTTTAATATCCTTTAGATCATAAATACTTTATTATTTCATAAATCATGATTTTCATATTTTTAATTTTATAATTTCTACATGCCATCTTACTAGATTTAAACTGATGATCTATTATCCGGTAAAATCCCAAATACGGAATCGCCGAACTCCCGACGAGTCCGGATTTCGGACTTTGTACAATACTTTTCTCTTTTGGTACCATTCCTTTGGAATTCTTCTATTTCCGGCAACCTTTTTCAACAATTTTTTCTTACTTAACTTTGGTCAGGCCCCTGCTATATGGACGCAGGTATGTTTGTCTGATTTTTCTATTATTCATTGGCTTTGGTCTTGGCATGACCCATTTTGAGACGTTATTATTATGTTTCTTCTAATTCTTCTCCTTAAAAATGTTTATATTCTTCATGCTAATTGATCTCCCTTAAAATTGTGTAATTTTTGAATAATAGCTTTTTAGCTATTTATGTTAATTGTACATTTGCCTAACTGGGCTTTCTTGTATAAGCTTATTCTTGTTAAATAGTAAGTTTTATATTTGCAATTTAAATTACCGGCGCGTTCGAGGAAAAGGAGCGATATACCATTGAGACTTGCTAAACTTTTTTAAGATAATTAAGCTGGATTATTCTTTTAGTGAAATTCCGCTTTCAGTCTCAATTGTTTTCGTTTGACGAAATGAGCTAACGGTATTGGCTGAATTCGAGTTTTGAACCACTTTTTCCTTGATAAGTCCGGTTTAAATCTCAGGTTGGGCTAATTTACCATTTATTGAAATTCGTTGTACATATTTGATGTGTATTTGAAATGTTTTTAATTATTTGCGTGCATCATTTAAAAATTTTTAATTTTTGATTTAAAATTTATTAGTTTTTTTTCTCATCCCTTTTTGATTTTGAAGATATCTCGTTTTGTAATTTTTACATTAAGATTTTACGCGATAACTATGATTTCTTTAGTATTGTTTGTTGTTTTAACATGGTATAACTATTTTACTTTTAAGGAATAGCTTTTAAACATTCCTTTTCTTTACAAATAATTTCAAATTTTGCAGCTTATTGAGCAAAATTCTTGACCACTAAGGTCTCTCTTGTTGGTGTTATCTTTTTTTATATATATATAACTGCAGCATAAAGCATCAAATTGAAAGTAAATTCGTTTAATGCTTTTATTTTACTAATATCATGGATCTCAGAGTTACAGAAAATATCAGATTATTGTAGTACATATGATACATTTCTATGTGTTACATTTTATTAATTTAAACTTTCCAGACTTCCCGAAGCAGTCACTTTATAAATTCAAATAGTTTAGTTTATTCAAGTAATTTTGATTAAACCCTTCCATGCTGATATTACTTGCAACGATGGAAAACTTAGTTATGAGCTCTAAGCTGATTAAAGCGTCTAGACTCCAAGCAGTGACTTCGCGTTGCTACACATTTCAACTGGTAATCACTTACATACTTTAATAAATGCAGCTATGTATTTGAATCAAAGGCGAGTTTCGCAAATACAATGCAGTACTTATGCGGCATTGTCTTATTTCAGAAACGTGTTACTCAGTTTAACATTTATGTAAATATTTGTTCGTTCTCCCGTTCTTTCTCTTGATTTTGATATTAAAATATCTTGCTGTAAACACCACATGACTTCCTTTTACAGCCTATTAAATTATGCACATCAGTTTATTGTTGCAATTATGCACATTGCAACAATAAACTGATATTAAATATTGTTAGGTATTCATTGTTAGACAAACCACATGTATAAATTGCACACTCTTGTCGATGGTCTGTGTTAAGACTAAATGATTTACTGCATAGATATCCATCGTATCATTGGAGGTTGATATGTTAAACATTCATGAAATATGTAAGAAGAAATAAAGAAACTTGCTGACATCTTTCTAGTGAAGTACAAGAAAATTTGGTACCGATTGCGTAAATTAATAAGTATAATTTATAAACGAAGTTTTCAAATCATATATTATAACCTTTCAAACCCATGATACAAAAGTATCCAGATAGAGACATTTGTAGCCTAATTTTTACTTCCTTGTACGAAATAAAAAGGAAGTATTGTAATCGCAAAAAATTTAGGGTATCATATTTCAACGAAAATATCCATTTTGACCGCTATCGAATGTAATTTAACGATGTTTCTACTTGACATCTGATCGTAAGGACAGAATAAAGGACTCTTTCCCCCATAAAAATTATAAAACCGATTTAAAATGAATTCTGAAGTGATTTTGTGGCGCCTGTACGTACGTATCTCATATAACCCAAAAACGAGTAGCCTCAGAACGTTGAAATTTTGTATATACGTCTGCTATAACATGTAGATGTGCACCTCACATTTTGGTTGTAATCGACCACACTAAAAGTATATAAATATATATATACACTCTGTTACTTAGCTCAATGATATCAGTAATTTTATTTTTATATGTTTGTAAATTGCGCATTTTTTGCATTAAAAAGAATTGCAATTTTAGCCAACGTGTTCTAAATCATACTGATAAATGTTCCATGAAGTATTATCTTGAATGATGTCTTTAAGTATGAAGTTGCTTTAACATACAGAAATGTTATATTTAAACAATTCAACTTGTTACTCTAATATTGAAATTCGCTGCATCAAAGATAAATTTAAAAAAAAACCTTCTCCCACAAAATCGGTAGAAGCTGTTATAAATAATAATTTTCCAGTCCGCGTAATTAAAAAAATATTCTCTCGTTAAGACTGGCAACAGCTTTCGCAATTGCAGTTTGGAATCTGAAGGTATTTTAGTGCTGTTGGAATAGTACGAAAAATTCACATGACTTCCTTGTACCGCTTATTAAATTATACACATTTCTTGTTGTAATTCATATATTTTCTCGAATTTTATTAGGGATATATTTTTCATTCAATTAATTCATTTCTTACTTCGTTTCAATTAATTCATTCTCACGCGTCCAAGCAAAATTACATAAAAACTCACAACACCTTCATTAAAAATCGTAAAATGCAGAAAAACTTAAAATACCAAATACAGTTAAAAAACAATTTTTACAACTAAAATTAGATTTTTTACGAAAAAACAAGGAATTCGGCCAGCGTGCTTTTCAGAGCACAGAACTGAAAGTTTACTTTTGGTCTCACTCGGCAGTAAGACACTGAAAGTGCAAAAACTGGCGTAGTTCTCTAGTCTACTGAGTTTCAAATGCAAACAAATGGTGGCTCTTTAGGCTTAATTCGCCGCTTTAACTTTTAAATTGTTGATAATTCTAAAATTATTGCATATAGATTAATTAAAGGCATAAAAACCTTAACCAGAACATAAAAACTTTATAATTCAGTCAATTTTAAAGCAAAAAATGCACAGTTTACCAATATATAAGAATAAATAAAGTAATTTAACCGAGCCAATTGAAAAACCGAGTGGGGGAAAAATATATAAAATATATATATGTATTTTTATTAAAAATATACGATTGGTGCAGCCGATTGCAACGAAAACAAGAGGTGTACAGCGACATGTTATGGCAGTCTTATATACAAAATTTCAGCATTTTACGGCTACACGTTCTTGAGTTATGCGAGATACATGTGTACGCACGTGCATACTCTTCTGAACCCATTTTAAATTCATTTTACAATACGTTTTGGCAAACACAGTTCTTTATTCTCTCCGTACGCACAGATATCACGCAAAAAATCGTTCAAATGGTTTCGAGAGTGGTCGAATGGATATTTTAAAAATAATGACACTCGAAATTTTTCGCATTTGGAATACTTCTTTTACTTCATAAAAGGAAGTAAAAATGAAATATTAAGGCTATAGACGTTTATAAAATGAAAATTCATGAGCCTGAAATATGATATTGTAAACTGATTAGATTTTAAATCAAAAACTTATATTGGATGATTTATTTTTATTATATATTAATCTTTTTTTTTTTTTTTTTTTTTTTTTTTGTTTTTTTTCAGAGTCACTTTTGTTAAAAGCTACTTAAAATGGAAATAATGGAAAGAATGAACTCAATTGCTCTTCAGCTAGTTTTATTTACATCTTTTATATATTTCGAAACCTCTTTTGGACAGAAAGGAGACTTTGAAATCAAAACCCATACATAAAACTATTCAGGATTCTATATTAACGGTTTTATTTTAAAATGTTAAGATACTGAGTTTTAAGTGAAAGCATTACAAATGCATAATTGAATTCTTTACACTGTTGAGAAGTAATCATAAGAATAAATAGTTTCGGATGGAAAGTTTCGATTTGTGATATAAACCGTTAGAAGTGTTCTTATTAAATGTTTCCCTCTTGTAAAAAGTCTTTAATCAAAACTTACTCCAAAGGCAAATAACGTTTATAAGAAGTTATTTGCCTTTGGAATACTGTTTAATTCCGTAACAGATAGTATTCATTTATTTCCTTAACTAATCTAACTCATCGATTTGCAAGTGAAGTATTCTTAAATTATTTCTGAATATATTTGATGTTTTAAAGGAGAGGCTTTATGAGTTAAATAGTATGCATATTAATGCACTAAAATCATTAATTGCTTCTGGAAGCTGAGTTTTCTCAAATGTTTAATTTTTGAATAATCGTTGGTGTAGAAAAATATAGTAAAATAATTCAGTTTTGTAATCTGATTAAATTATTTATTTAGTTCCTGTAATTTATTTTAAATTATTTATTTTGTTTCAACGAGTTTGTTTATTTTATGTCATTAAAATTATTTTTTAACAGAAATTAAAAACAGAATTAAATTTTTAAATAAAGTAATTAATACATTCATATCAAATTTCAACATGTTATACTTTATGTTATCTTCGACTGTCCTCTATGACATCCTACACTAGGATGCACACTATATATGTGATACTAAGACTTGTCATACTAAGACTCTATGTCATTCAGTCAGTTTGAAGTTAAGAAAATAATTTGTAGAAGTTTTGTATAAATTTTGACTGCATGGGTACCTTTTTCTGATTTATGACGGAGAATTCCAGTTTTCGACCGCAGTTCTGCCAACTCGGTTTAAAATTTATCTCTTCCATAATTCTGTTATTTATAAAATTTATGATTTTTATGTAAGTTGGCTTAATATTTTGTTATCTGCATCAAAACTTTCTGGTTGTTTCTAGTGTTTGATAGCGCTTCATTTTTCTCTAGATTAACCCTGAAAAAAATCAGAGTTGTTATTAATCACACATTACGGTGCCTTATTGCTATGCGTACGGTAGCGGATGCTCCTGAAAACGTCATGTTCCACTTTTCCGGTCAGCATCAAGTTCTACAGAGAAACATCTGCTGTATATTGGCAATGATTATAAAGTAAGATGGAAGTTTTTCCACGTCTTTAAATGATGTGAGGTTCACATACTTTGAGAATTTGTGAATTTCGTTTTTAGTTATGTTTGTGACAAAAGAAAAATACACATACTCTTTTCAAAAAGCCATCGTACACAAATAGATAACTCTCCTTATATTATTTTATCAAGCAATGTAACGCGACTATGATGTGTGCCATTTGTCATTGAGATATTTCGATTTCGATGCGTGTTCAATAAAAGTGAAAGGGAACCAGCAGAACCATTCTTTCCAAGAACCTACCAAGCATTCCAGCAGAACCATTCCAAGGAAAAGCATTCTTTCAGTACATATTTATCTTTTAAGAATTGTTTTTATTACTGAAAAAGTTTATCCTGACTTCTTAAAATATCATGTGTTCGGCAGATTAGAACCTCTGTGCAGATCAATCCAACTAAGGCTAGAAGATAATGGATTGAAATTGGGCACCTTAAGGCTTATGTACTCAAGCATTACAGAAAGATGCGATACTTAAAATGTCATCATTGTTATAGCTGTTATAAATCAACACTCGTGTTTAAATATATCAGAGTTAATATGTACATAAATTTTAAGCTGACAAAATCATGAGCTAATTGGTAGAAAGGATTGTGACAAAATCATGAGCTAATTGGTAGAAAGGACTGTATTTAACAAGATTATTTGGAATATATGGCAAAGAACGTGAACGTTATCTGCTTAAGGAAAGGCATACCTTCGTGGATGATATTTTAGAGCAACTGATTCATATTCGCTTTATGCATGTGTAAAGCCACGAAACGTTTCATTCAAGTGACCCACCTATCCGATGGGATTTGAACCCAGTACTAACTACCGGTATTTAGCGGTTCTTATTGCTCAGCTACTGATGGATGTTAATATGAAGGAAATAGATATCCGCGCCTGCACTTTGCAATAAAATATGGGCGATTGAAAAGTATAATTTAACCAACGGATTTTGTGTAAATGTAAAAAAAGAACTATTCAAACTCTAGAACTGTTTAAAACGGCTTATAGTGAATGTGCTATGAACGAATTCTCAAGTGGCACTCGAGAGAATATTCAAGTAGAGTAAGGGATTTCAGGATGAACGAGAAGATGTGACAAATTGTCTTCCAGAAGTAAACAGTTAAAAGAAACAGGGGCGGACATTATTATTAATAGATGACATTAAGTGAAGATTTATGTCTAAAGAAATACAGATTACCGAGAGATATTTGGTGTAATTTTAACAGATGAATCGAGCATAACAAATTCTGTGATTTCCCTTAGCTATTAAAAATCAGTTCTGTCGTAGTGAGATAATTCTAATAAAAAAAGGTTGCTCAGTTAAACCATCTTGTTTATTTAACTGATTTAGTTCTGTATTACTATGACAAATTACTATGAAAAAAAGGTCATCAGTATCCAAGCCTAAAATTTATGAACAGGATTCTTTGAACCGGATTTAAATCTCAAGGAAAGGGCTGGCTACATGGGAACCTTTTAGGTTTCCACATATGTAACGAGAACACAAACCAATTTCCCTTTAAAAGTCCTCCACAAAAGCCTCATTTACCTTTAGATAGAAAAACTCTTGCGTGCTTTGTCATAATCTAAATAATCCAATCCATTCCAATTCCAAAACTGTACTGAAGGCATGAAATTGTCAAATACGTATAACTGATACTTAACAGAATGCGAGATAGATACTCAACAATATTATTATTCGGGAAAAGGAGTATACAGAAGGCATGCTTCTAAAAGGTAAATTCCAACAAGGTTTAATTCCTATATAAATGCTTTCGGGAATAGTTTCATTATCCATTAATAATATAATCTCTCGTTTATATTTAAAAGATTCGTTCAAGGAATTAAATTGTAACACTTTCTGTATTCCATATCTTGTACATTCTGCCTATATTCTATCTTTACATTTTAATTCTCATAGATTGTATACCTTGTAATTAATGACAAAGAATGCGTAACTTTGAAACTAGGTAAATAAAATTTAGGGAGGAGAGTAAGAAAAATTGCACAGAAATAATATTTATTGCTATGATATTTATGAATTTTATGTTAAGGAGATTTTTAATAAGCTAAATTATTTCATTTGTATTTCAAACTGAACGTGGAATAAATATTATGAAGCTAATTCAGATTCTCATTATCGTTTGTGCTGCTTCTAATAATAATCTAGCCGTTAATTTGAATTCGTTTACACTGAGAAACGACTCAATAAAGTTAAAGCCAAAAGGCAATGCGGCTATGTTTCGTTTCGCTTGATAACTTGAATGAATGACAACTATTCAGTTGTTAATTTGCAAGAGTGACAGCTGAGTTTAATTAGATTTATAATACTCAGGAACTGTTTAGTTAAGATTCTTTAAACCATGGATGATGGCTGAGATAAAGGGTTAGTTACTATAGACTGCATATATAGAGTAAATATTGTTGCGTGCGTACGGTTTCGTAGTGGATAGAATGCACACAGAACAGATGATGGCTTGGTAAATTTTATTTTCCCAGAAGAAACACTTTACAGTTCTGAAACTTTCCACAAATGTACTCCTACAGCTGCTCTCAGTATCACAGAGCACAATTAGTAGTTACCACTAATTCACATCCAAAGAGCGAAGCGCGAAAAGAAATCTAATTCTTCGAAGTCAGCTCTGAAGTAAAAAAAACTGAGAACAGATTGTCCCCCCGGTCTTACATAATTTTATCCCGGCCGCTGAGAAATCTCTAGTGCCTTCCATTTCTCGGAAATTACTGAAATACACACAGCTGAGGTTATACAAGTTTTTAAAAAATTCTATCTGTCGGCGTATTAAATTTCCTCAAAGTATCTCATATCCTTGAAAACTTCCGATTCTGGCTAATGATCCCAGTACTAATCATCTTTTATCGTCAGATTTTTAGGAATCTGCTTCCCAGTAGCTTTTTATTCCCTTTTCAGTTAACAGATGGCGCTAGAGGTTTTGTTTTTCGATTTTTTTTTTTTTTTATCACGTATCTGGAGCGTTCTTGAATTTGTCTCTGTTATTCTCATGTACGCATAAGCTTCCTTTTCGTCATTTTCACTCCCGCATTTCATGGGAGAAGATTCTGTTTAACCTTTGAAATTACAGTCCTACAAATTTATACACATTATGGAGGTTACTGTTGCTTATTAGTTAGTTGCTTTAACAATCAGATTTGTATATAGTTGAATTTAATGCAAATAAGATTTAATTTTAACTCGAGATAAAACAAGCAGATTTAATAAAATACAGATGCGTTATAAAATTACAATGCTTTAGAACAAAATATGGTGCATTTAAAACTATAAGAATTTCATAAACAATAATAAGAGAGTGGTTCTCGCGCTTTGGGAAGCAACACTAATTGCTTACTATATAAGGTTTTTCTCTCCTTTTTCCTAGCGTGCCTTCGTGCTGTAGTGGTTCTGCACGCTGAGCCGGTATTTCAGAGGTCCGTGGTCCGATTCTCGGGGAAGGCATTTGTTAATTGTTCAATTCTCTTGCTTCCAAAAATACCTAATGTCTCTACAACCATAGCGAAAAACTTTTACTAAAGATCTAACAAGACACTGCTATTTTTTACATAAGAATCGTAATAATTTGTTATAGATCTTATTTGGTAACTTCGGAAAGGGTTGAATTTTGCGAGAAGGTTTAATTTTTTTTCTTTGGAAGGAAAAGATTTAAAAATTTTTCTGCATTTTGAAGAAGAAAAAATATCTAGAAAAGTAAATTATATTTAAGTTTCTTAAAACTTCAATCTAACGATGAAGTTTTCTTAATTTTACTATGTTTCTTCGAGTTACGTATTTGAAGTTAAAAAAGTACGTTTCCAGTGCCTGAAGACAAAAGACAGAACAATAAAATGAAAAAAAAATCATAACTAAAGATACTTAGTTCTTAAATTCTGCAAGGAATAATTCTGCTTCATTCAATTACACAACAGCAACAAACTAAAGTTTATTTTCGACTCCTACGAATTTCTCTAAAACACGTGATTACGTTTCAAAACATTATGGAATACGAAGTTTTACTTAAAATTTTAAAACAGTTCTCTTATCTTTTTAGCATTTCCAAAGGAATTTATAGTTTAAAACCTGTTTCGCCTTAACACTAAGATATTACAAAGTGTAGTTCATTGTTCCCTTCACAGAATTCATTCATTGCTCCCTTTACAAAAGGATTTACATTGGACGATTATCAAGAATTTACAATTTTTTATATTATGCGAAAGAAATG